TCCAATTAAATACCAAAATAGAAATCCTAAAAATCAAAGAAAAGATTAAAAAAATTGAAAGTATGCCACCCAAAGCAAAACCCTTGGAATTAATAAACAAAACTAGGAGCTGGTTTTTCAAGAAAAACCAATAAATAGAAAACATAAAATAGAAAAAAAACCCCAGATAAACCATTAGCTAATTCGATTTTTTTGAAGAGGAAAAACAAATTACCTGTATCAAAAATGAAAAGGTGAATTCACAACAAAGAAAAATAAAGAAAATTATTAGAAACTCTTTATCCAGTTATATGCCAATAAAAAGGACAACTTAAATTAAATAGATGAATATTTATGTAAATGGAAAGTGCCCAGATCAACAGAACACGAAATAGAGGCTTTGAATAACTTTATCTCAGGAAAAGAAATTGAACAAGCTATAAATGAGCTCCCAAAGGGGGGAAAATACCTGGGACAAGATGGACTTATAAGTATATTCTATCAAGCACTCAAAGAACAATGATTTCTAATATTATATAAACTACTTGAAAAAAATAGGGGTCCCACCAAATTCTTTCTATGACACAAATATGGTCTTGATACCTAAACCTGGTAAAGTCAACAAGAGAAAGTATAGACCAATATCCTCCATGAATAATATTGATGTAAAAATTTTAAATAAAGTAATAGCAAGGAGCTACAGTAATATGTCAAAAAGATTATATATTATGACCGGATAGGGTTTTTTGTTTTTTTTTTCACTAGAAATACAGAAGTTGGTTCAGTATTAGGAAAACTATAAATATAACTGACTGTTAATAAAAAGAACAAAAATTATGTGATTATATCAATAGATGCAGAAAAGGCTACAACACACATTTGTGTTTAAAATGCTAGAAAACAGAGGAATAAATGGGTTTTTCCTTAATATAAGTAGTATCTATCTAAAACCAAGAGGTAGTATATATACAATGGGGATAAACTAGAGGACTTTCCAACAAGATCAGGATTGAAGCAAGGATATCCATTATCATCACTCTTATCTGATAGACTGCTCAAAATATTAATAGCAGCAATAAGACAAGAAAAAGAATTTGAGGGAATGGAATAAGCACAGGCAAAAAGAAAAACAATTATCATTACCAAGCAGGTAACATGATTGGTTTACTTAGAGAACCCCAGAAAGTCACCTAAAATGAAATGAAACAATTGAAAACTTCAGCAAAGTTGCAGCATATAAAATAAATCCAAATAAAAACATCAGTATTTCTGTATATTACCAACAAAATCCAGCAGGAAAAAACAGCAAAATTCCATTTTAAATAACTATATACATTTTTGCATAATCAAGTCTAGTGTAGTTAAAACTAGAAGAGAAATAGATAAATGGGGAAAAATCTTTGCAGTAAATTTCTCTGATAACAGTCTTGTTTCTAAGATATGTAAGGTATTGATTGAAATTTATAAGGATAAGAGCCATTCTTCATTGGATAAATCATCAAAGGTTATAAACAAGTAGTTTTCTAAGGAAGATATCCAAGTTATCAATAGCTATATAAAAAAATGCTCTAAATTACTAATCAGAGAAATTCAAGTTCTAACTGACCCCCATCAGATTGGCAAAAGGAATGACAAATGTTGGAGGGGTGGAGCTGCAGGAAAACAGGTGCAATAATGTACTGTTAGTGGATGTGTGAATTGGTCTAGCCATTTTAGAAAGCATTTTGGAACTATCCCACAAAAGTTACTAAACTGTACTTATTCTCTGCCCCAGCAATACCACTACTAGGCCTTTAATCCCCAAAAGAGCAAAGAAGGAGAAAAAAGGACCCATATGTAACTTACGGTGCATCTTTTTATATTGCCAAAGAACTGGAAACTAAGGGAGTGTTCATTAATTGGAGAATGGCAGAACAATTATGTTATATGAATGTAATGGACTATTATTATTCTGTTAAAAAATGAGAAAGGGATAGGTTCAGAGAAATCTTGAAAAACCTGTATGAATTGATGCAGAGTGAAGTGAGCAGAATCAAACAGTTTATAATAACAACACGGTAAAGACAAACAACTTTGAAAGACTTAAGAACTCTGATCAACAGAATGACCAACCATGATTCCAGAGGATCCACACTGAAATATGCTATTTACCTCCTGACAGAGAGGTAGGTGATGGACAGCTTGAGACACATATTTTGGATGTGTCCAATCCAGGAATTTGTTTTGCTTGATTATGCATATTTATTACAATGATTTTATTTTGTTTTATTTCTCTCAATGGAGGAGGGGAGGTATGAAATGTGGGAAATAGATTTTTGTTAATTGAAAAAAAATTTTTTTTAAGGATAGTGAAGAAAACTCTTAAATTTACCTCTTTGTAACTACTACCCCCTAATTCTGCCCTCTGGGGTCAAATAAAACAAGTCTACTCCTTTCGAAGGAAAGTCCTTCAAATGCTTGAAGACAACCATAATGTTTGCAAGTGTTCTTTTCTCCAGGCTAAACATGGGTCCAAGACTCTTCATCAACCTAGTTGTCAAGAGACAATATGGTTAACAAGAAAGCTGGCTTGAAACAGGAGGTAAGCTAATCACGTGGTTACCCTGAAGAAGGAAGTAATGGTCCCATTCTAATCTACCCTAGTCAGACCATGCCTAGAGAAAATGTACTTATCTGAGAGACTGAAAGAGTACCTGACCAGAAATATTTTTGCCACTTATTCACTATAAGTTCTTGGCTAGTCCCTCTCATTTTCTGAGCCTCAGTATCCTCTTCTGTAGAATGAGGGGGTTGAATTAAATGATCTTTGAAGTCTCATCCAGTTTTGACAACTGATGAACTTCTAGGCATCACATTTTAATCAGGACATTGACAAACTAGAGCAGGTTCAGAGGAGAGGGACCAAGATGTGTAAAAGGGGGCTGGGAGTGACATGTGGGATACACATGAGACCATACAGAGCTGAGGAACAGCTCAGGAAACCAGTGGTTTTTAGTCTGAAAAAAGAAGACTTCGGACGGACATTGTAGCTGTCTTGAAATATGTGAAGGACTCAACTGTGGAAGATTAGCTACAGAGGAGAGAACTAGTTTCCAATGATTACAAGTTTTGTGGCAGCAGATTCTGGAAAGAAGGAAGAATTTTCTGAACAAGGAGAGCTGTCCTCCAGGGGAACAGGCTGGCCTGTCTTACAAAGCAGTGCGCTCCCAGTCTCACTCTAGGTGTTGAGGCAGAAGCTGCAGCACTCACTATCTGTAGGGAAATTCTGGTCTGATAAGAGGCTGAACTAGATTAGGGGTTCTTAACCTTGTGTCATGGAGCTCTATGATAGTCTAGTGAAGCCTCTGAAACCCTTCTGAGAAGAATGCTTTTAAACACACAGAATATATAAGATTACAAAGGAAACCAATTCTATTGAAATACAGTTATAGTTTTGGTTTTTTTTTAAAGTTCATAGACCCTGGGTTAAAATCTCTGGGATGAACTTTCAGGTCCCTTCCTGAGTCTCTTTGGCTGTGATTTCTCATTTGCTCTCCTTTCTCTGCCTCACAAATTCTTCCTCTTCCTTTTATCCCTCTTTTCCTTCCTTTTTTTTTTTTTTTTTTTTTTTTTTTTTTTTT